AAAACCGAGGTCCTGACTCTCTGTGGTCATTAGAAGTCCCAGGGCGTTTTTCGAAGAGATTATGGGTGTTACGGCATCCTGGCCAAATTTGCCCCTGGCCTTTACCAAGGTCTCCTAATAATCCCCATCTCTGAACTGGCTTCATCACTCTGCTCTCCTCCCCACTGAGTACTGGTACTGGTACTGGTACTGGTGCACTCTGGCTGCCGTCGCTTCATCTACGTGGAGTGGTGGAGGGGATCCCCATTACCTGTAAAAAGCTTTTAATGGAGTGTCCAGAAACGCGCTATACCCTCACACTTGTTGCTGTTCATAGTGACAGAAGAAATAAGGTTTTCCCTTTCCCTTACTATTATCCTTGCATACTTTTCAGTTTTTCAGAATTAGTTTAAAAGATGAACATAATTCGAAATAAATTCTAAAATCCCTTAAAACTAGTGTAGGGATTCGGACGCGTTTCAGAACACTCCTTATCACTGCATTAGTATTGAGCACCAGTGATAACATCAATCAAAAACCAAACAAAGTTTAAACTAGACCACAGTCTGATTGTTAATATCTGAGGTAACGTTTGAAAGGTCATTTAAATCCTTCAAAAATATGAGCTGTGAGTAGCTGTGAGCTTATTACTGAGTTTTAGATTTGCGGTTCTGAAAGGATGTGAATGTGTGAATGTTTTTCGAACAAGTGTGTGCAGAAGTGACACAGCCCGCTGTACACTCGTGCATAATTCAAAGCCCAAATTATTGCACCTGAGGCTTTGGAGACAAATACTACAGCAGCAGTTCCACTATATACATATATCAGTTTCCATTAAAATTGCATTTGTGGCAGGCACAAACCATCAGTGAGCAATGAAAAGGCAAACAATAGGAATTTTAATTCTTCAAAAAATATTGATTTACAGATCATTTCCAAAGAGGCTGTAGACCGGCGTGCTCCTTAACCCAGAGGGTGCTAACCCGAACAAAGACATTTCTGGCTAAAATGAATGTTATAATGGCGGAGCACTTTGAAGGGCTTTTAGAATACCAAACAGAACTGGAAACAAAGAAACATTCTGTAATTCACGTACCAGGGTCCATTAATGCAGAAATAGGTACTAAATTGTAATTAGATAGCAACTTAGAAGTAATTTAAAACATCTGTCAGACAACTGAATATTGTTATTAAAATATTCCTTTAAAACTCACAAAAACTATTACAATTTTACCCCGCAAACAAAGTTCCTGGTATTTGTTCAATGGTGTCACTGGTAGCAAAGAGGTCTACCAGTTGAGATGACCATTGTCCCTTACTGACTGACTCAGGTAGCAGCACACTTACACTGACACCATCGTGAGCAGAAATAAAGAACTTCACAGAAATTAAAAATGGCCTTTGGAAAGTAAAACCCGATTTTTAAACCGCTACATTCCAGTGTTCCACAATGTAAGCGAACGCAGGGAAAGTACGGTCTGTTTTCAGAGGGGATGGAGTCTTACACAGGGTTAGCCACGAGCCGGAAGAGCTGGTTCTTCAGGTAGGTGCACAGCTGGTTCATCAGATCCCTGTTCTGTCCTTCCACCCAGTGCATCTCCACAGTGACGTCCCCCCCTTCCTCTTTCACGTTCATCAGACACTTGAACAGGAAGTGCTGCACACCGCTGGGCCCCCCGCTGTTTCCTGCCGTCACGCTGGCATTAGCTGCTTCCTGTGTTCCTGCGGCTCCGGGAGACACACCGATGGCGCCTGTGTCCAGCCCGCTGTCCTGTACATCCAGCTGGGCGACAGCGGCATCTTTTTCCTGCTCCGCTGTGCTGCTCTTCCGGTCACTCGAGGAACCGTTCTTGTCGGGCAGCGGGCAGTCCTGGCATGTACCGACGCCCGCCTCTTCGGAATTTCCGGCCCCAATGACCTCCGACCCCCGGGCTGACGTCTCTGGGTTGGCCTGGCTGTTGGTGCTTTGGGCTGCGGGCTGGGGATTGTCGGGGGTCTGTGCCATCCCCCCTACGCCCTCCAGGGGTGCTCTGGGGAGTTCCCTCAGCTGCCTCCCTCGGTCCCTGCGCTTATGCCGCAGGTGGATCCAGGAGTTCTCCACTGCGGTGAGGAACAGGCTCAGCTCCGACTTCCCGCAGGGGACGCGCTTGTGCAGCACCTGCCCCAAGCAACACAGGCATCACAACGTCAGAGAGCAGCGCCCGAGGCAGCCAGCAACATGCAGACTCCCCAAGAAAAAGCCTTTTAAAAGCTGCTTTGTCAAATGCATCTGCATTGCTCTGGACAGATGCAGGGAATAAAACTGCATTGCACATGGTGTAATAAGCACAGGCAAAACTTGGTTGTCCCTGCTGGATAAGCTATTGTGAAAACCCCCTTCAGTACCTTCATAGCCTATTCTTTGGTTTGTATTTTTTTATTCAATGCAAATCAATGAGACAACTCATTCAACTGTGATAAAGGAATTCTAATGCATACGTACTGTGAATAAAGAGTGAGCACAAGTGGAGACTCCTTATGTTTAAGTGAAAATGTCAATCCAAGCAACAGCAGGGAAGCTCTACAACGAAAAGGGCGATTCTAAGGTCTGGGAGGCGTGTTTGTGCCCATACCCGGAGGTCAGCGAGGGTCTTCTCGATCCAGGCAGTGACCGTGTCGGTGCTCCCCCTGGCTGGCGAGCCCAGAGAGGAGGCCTTGGCGGCCAGCTCTCTGACCGTGGGGCCCAGGACAGTGAAGGTGATGGGCTTGCGGGCTTTCTCCAGCTTCCGCTTCTTGGAAGGAGGAGACTGAAACAAACAGAGCAGCGCAGAAAAGAGGGATTGAGAAGGTCTGGGGTAATCAGAATAGAACAGAACTTCAGGATTTCAAGATTCAAGGGTGCTGTGTGAGGCAGAAAGATGCTCAGTGCAACAAAAAACAATGCATCTCATAAGCAAACAAGTTCTGGAGTACGTTAAGTATGTCCTCCTGAGCACCTAAGTTCTAGAGCACATTTGGAATGTGTTCCTTTGGCCAAAGTTTCTAGGGCACACCCTACTTGAGCATATTTAATCAAGAGGGCTCTTAGCACCAACCAGCTGACACTGAACAATGTGCGCTTCACATTTTATCTGCAATTACAGTATTCTCAGTATACTCTTCAGAGAGAGGACGTTATTTTGCATTGAAAATACATAAAAATGCATACAATGTGAGAGGAGGCGTGATGTCTTTATAGCTTTACGTTTTAAAACATCCTCAATGGTCAGTTAGTGATAGAAAAGTTTGCCGAGTGCTTGAGGTTAAGGAGGAGACTCAGTATGAAATGCTCGCATGCTAGTGAGAGAAGCACCTGGATCTCACCTCGGCAGGGATCGATTACAGCCAAGCACTGACAATTACAGCCAGCAGGTGGCATGAGAGCTCTCAGATACTGCGTGCCTCTAACCTACCTGAATGACAAAGCCCTAAAGCCTAATTTTGCTGTTTCATTGCATAACATTAAACCAAGCCTAGCCCAGCCGAGACAGCTGAGTGCACATTGTGATCTGCTGTCCTCCTGGGATATCTAGTGCACACAGCGCAGCTAGAGAGCAGCAAAAGACAATGCTGTCAAAACAGGCTACATCTCCACCAGGCTTTATTAGACATTAAGCTTCATTACATTTTGCAATATTTTGCTTCATATAAAAGTCAATTAAAAAGACGAGAGAAATACAGGTGCAGGAACTGCACGAGCAGAAGACAGGCTGCAGTGAGCCGCTCGGTGGGGTCTCCATAGAAACCTCCACGGATTCCGTGGAGACGAAAGCGACTCCGAGGCTCACAGCGTCAGGCAGGCCCGGCTCCTTCTCACTCTCCGCCCTCCCTCGCCTCTCACTGGCCCGCGTCACAGTGAGCCCACAACCACAGCTGGAGGCCTGGGCACACGTCAGCGCATCGCGGCCCGATCAGTGCTGAGCCGGACCCAGCGAGCCGCAGTCTGGGGCCCAGGTGATGCGTCCATTCACGTGCCCCAGCAGTACGCATATCTGCCAGAACCAGTTTTCAGGCAACTGGCTTGCAGTTCCTTTCATTCCACCACACACAGAGATATTTCTTTTCACCACTGAAAAGCATTCTTGACTAGGGGCAGGTTAACAGCGCCTTTTATTCCATGATTCTAATCCTAGCAGCCACTGAACTATATAATTGACTGTTAATTGTTTAACCGCTCCTGTTAAAGAATATTTGAATAAAGTAATGTTAATTAAAACAGTGACCTGCATTAGTTTGGAATATAATAGCCCTGTCACAGTGCTGGTTTATCAGGCTGGTGACACAGATATATGCATAAAAGAATCCAGAATTAATCAAAAGCAAATGTGTCCTGTTGCCTTCCTGAGGTGTTGCCGACTGTAAATGCACCACCCGAAGAGTTCAAATTGGGACGTTGGAAGAATATGAGGTCCACTGAGGTGAATTACACATCAAAGCAGAGATCAGACTGGTTAACTTTGTATTGCTGGCCCTTAGCAAACAGCATTATTGTGCTCCAGATTGCTTAACTGGTCCCTCCCAGCTGCTCCATCATTGCCATAATAAAATGAGCTGTCCTGTAAGGTCTCTAGATGTCAAGGTAACTAAGTTATATGATGGATCACCCAGCTTTTCAGGCCTGACCTGGACCTTTGAAATTCTGACAGTGCTTCTTGAAGCAATTCATGTGGTTCATTTTATTACACCTTATGGAAACCTAATCCCATTTTATATATGAAATTTAAAAAAAAGCCAAGACACAGAATCTCAATTCTAAACTAGAAACAAGGGGAAAAAAATCTCATTCATGAATTTACAAAAAAGGGCTTATTGCTGGAGATACAAACAAAACGTTACTGTAGTACCAAGACTTGCCACAAGAGGGACCCCTTTCTCGCCTTTTCCCCCCTTTCCCTGCCTGCAATAACATTTGCATTGATCAATACACTGGCACCATGTTTCCAAAAGGCATTGCCTCTATTCCAACATCTCGCACAGGCATCATCGCTGTAACCACATTGTTACCTCCGGACCTGATGTCTTTGTAAATTCACAAACCATCACTCTGAATGGATACAACCTCAAGAAAACTGCCCCCCTCCCCAATAACGATACTTAGAAAAATCTCAGACTGACAGATCACTGATCTCAGTCAATAGAAACGCCCACATTGTAGCCCTTTCCTAAGTGAAGGCAGAATAACAAAACAAATAAGTCAACATGGAAACAGTGCTTATGGAGACCAAAACTGCTGAACATTTTCCTTTTTGCAGTTCAGTTTGGACCTTTTCTGGTTGGCAGATACTACTAGGCACGAGGCTGCAGTGAGAGCTTACTGTTACATGATAAAAAAAGAGAGAAAGAAACTTACAAAATAAACCCTGCATGTCTAATACCCTCCTCCTCCTGAGACACTGTCAGGGCCATCAGAGAAGTGAAAGCAATTCAGAGGCCTAGCCAGATGTGTCCAGCTCAAACTGGAGTCGCAGCTGGTCACTGGAATGCTGTCCACACAGCTCTGAACTACACAGACTAAAAATGTGGTATCATTCTAACCCACTCCTAAGAAAGAAAAAACTACCCTTAAACTACATTACTCACTTCCTAGTTAATCAGAAAAATGCCTTTTTTTAAAACGTATCACCCCGAAGCCCTTATCACCTGCCACCCCCCCTCCATACAGCCTCACCTCCTGGTCTCTCTTCCTTTCTTTGTCAAATCAATAAAATCCATTTCAACAGCCAATGTCTATCGGATACATCTCTCTCTCTCCTTCCCTGCCTCTTTCTCACACACATGCAAATTCCAGCCAGCTTCCAGGATGCAAGCGAGATAACTTTCACTACCCAGTCTCCCCCGTGAGTCATCTTTTGAGCTCTTCTCTTGCCTCATAAGCCACATGACCCCGTGCTCATCAGATACAGAAGCATGCCTGCCATCATAACAGAATGGCCTGAGTGCTATGCTTAATGCATGTGCACTAACACAGCCTACCTCATTGCTATGCTTGCCCTTGTTCATATTTACCTTTGGAAGTTTCATGAGGTTATTAGGTGTGAATCCCACACGGGCAGGCTAATACACAGGCTGAAGAAGGCTGCACGGCCAAAACGTTGCGTTTTCTTTCTTCCGTTTTCAGCACGGAATAAATCTATTACTTGTTCCTAATATACAAGCTGCCTATTAAGATCTTTCAGGCTGGAGGGGTACTTATCCTAAAGAAATACTGAGTTAGCTGCAATACTGGTTAAGTTTGTGTTTTTAAATATAAAGTTATAAAAATACATTGGCAGTCTCACTCTAGCTTCTTCAGACTGACCTTAATTCTCAGGTGTAATGTGGCTCCAAACAACATCCGTCTTATAGCTCCTACTCTTTACCTGTGCAGGAAAGCCACTTTAAGACTGACTGACACACTTTATTTCCCCTCCATCCACTGAAGCGTCTACTTAATTCAGGTATCACGGTAGCTTGGAGGCTAGAAAAGACCTGTTAAGAACATTTGATCACATAGAAATGGACCAGTTGTGAAAAATCTATTGCAGTGCAACACATTAAAAAGGCGATCAAATTCACAAATCACCTACTGTGGCATCTCTCGAGGGGGTTCCAGATTAAATACTTTAAACTGCAACTGAAATCAAATCAAATTTAATAATAATTTAGTGTCTCGTGGAAGTCAAGCTGAAAAGTGTAGATTTAATTTGAACTGCAAAGACCCACATAGGCTAGCTGTTGTGCACTGTGCTGAGAGTGGGTCCCCTGCTGAGACAGTTAAGCAGGTAGATGGGAAATAAAAAAATGATGAAGCTACTGAACCCCTCCTTCACACACAGACACACACACACACACACCAGAATTTCCTTGGGCAGCCCCTGAGCACTGCAGAGAAAGCCTCTGTCCAGAGGCACTGAGAGGAGACAGAATGTAGGCCAATCATTCTGCCCAAGTGCTTTTGTTGGAGATGCAAGGGAGTAGAGAAAGTGAGGTCCGTGCGAGAGAAGTACAATTCTACTCTCCAACACCCCCCCCCTCCCAGACACGTTTCCTCCCTCCCATCTTTCCCACCTCCCCAAGAGAACAGCGGCATGGCGCACACAGCCTCAGCAACTGTTGCCAGGATACGGCAAATTAGGAAGCACAACAGCTCCCTTGAACCAGGTTAAGTGCATTTAATGGAATGGGTGGGGAATACGTTATTAACAGTGCCAGGGACGGCACAGCATCAGCTGGCGTTCCTGCCCTGTGAAGCTGCTCAGGCGGTATCTCTGACACTATCCAGCGCTGCCGACTCGCTCCACTTCTTTTCCCACTTCCAAACGTCAGGGGAAGACGAGCGATTCCCTCTACTCGGCATTTCTCCCCCGCCGGCAAACACCCGCAGACGGTAACACGTCACTTTGAAGTGTTCTGGGTTTTTAAGGTCCGGACCTCCCCCGCATGCAGAGAGAATCTGAATTGGCTACCCCGCCGTCGAAAGCAGACCGTACCGCACTTGAGCGCGCGGTCTCCTCAGCGGTGCATCCGCTCCAATCTGCTCCTCGCTTGCTGACCTACTTCTGCAATCTGGGCGCGGCAGGAGGAAGGCTGGCCTCCTGTTAGGGTCTAGGAGGACCTACGCCTGTCGGCTGGCAGTGGGGACAAGGTGGGAGGTGCCGACTGCTCCTGTGGCTCGAGGCCTCTGACTACAGAGGCTGGCTGAAAGGGTCTGATCTAAAGGGACTGGAAGCCATCGCCACCCAAGCGGTTTAGGGCTGGGAAGGAGGAGACGCTGTGATGCAGAAGCGAGACCTGAGAGACCAGGGAGGAGGAGGAGGGTGACCAGGGCCTAGGGCCTGAAGCCGAAAGAGGTCAGAGGACAAAAAAAGGCACCCCCAGCCTGTCAGTGGGAGCCGCTGTATCGACAGGGAGGCTGCGTGGTTCAGTTGCGTCCAAGCCCTTCTGTCTCTTTCAAAAAGAGAAAAAAAAAGACGACTTACCGGGACAGCGACATCGTCACAGAAACTCCAGGCCAATGCCCAGCGCATGGTCCGCCCTTGGCAGAACTCAGTGTGAGTCACCTTGGGCACCTGCAATCACGATACACCAATTACTCACCACACCACAGACAAAGCCTGTACATCTACATTCAGCATGGCACAAAGCTATTACTCATGAAATAGCTCAGTTACATATTTAAAGTCTGCACAAATGTGAGAGGTCTTGTCAAAGGTACATTTTGATCAATTTAAACCTTTTCTTCCCCCAAATCTGAGATTTCACAAGTCAATGCAACATTATTTATTTAAAATCCTAAAATTGGAAATTGACCAGGAATACACCATTGTGAATATTTGATTTTGATCACTATCTTGTACAAAAACATACTGCTGCTTTAGAATCAGTGGGGAAAATACTAATCAGGATTAAAAAGACAGGCTAAAAGAATTGAATCTTTCTAATCTTGGACAGAGAAGAGTGTGATTGGACCGGATTCAAGTATTCCAAATCCTCAAAGACATTGACAATGTCTCTCCAAAGGACCTCTTCACGATCAACACTAATCAAAAAAACAGAGGAACCAAGAGGAAAGAGCTTATAAAACTAAGAACAGGAGTTAGCTTTTTACACAACAGATGAGAACAAGAGAACGGAACAAACTGCTGACTCATGTTCTCAAATCTCATATCCTGGTTTCTTTCAAGAAACATCTGAAATCCGCGGATCAGTTAGGTATTGGCAACCAAACATGCGAGATTGGAACCGTAATGAGTTCTTTTCTTATATTCTAGGGTTTCTTATGTATTTATTTTAGACATCATGTTCAGTTTTCAAAGACCTATTGTGATGCAGGACTGTAGGTGAACAACACATACACATCCGATGAGACAACTAGGGACTCTGTGTGATCCCATCACTCTGCAGTTCATGATTTGTTAGCTGGGATCAAAACCCCCCATTGTGAAGGCTGCTTTGCCCTGAACTTGGCCTACGATCACTAAAGGCATGCACTGCTCTGACAATGAGATACCAGAGAGCAGCATTAGCATTTTAATTAGACTCCCATTAAAAAGACGCACGTTAAAAGCGAGGTAAACCCCCCCTGGACGGCTGCCAGACCTCCGCTCATGTTGATGAGAAGTGACAGGATTCCGACACCGCTTGGGACAAAGACAGGACACAGGATGACAAGACCAGTTTCTTAGAACGTGACTGATTGACAAAAACAATAGCAATCATTTTGAGGAAGTGAAACGCCTGTCATTCACGGTAATAAGGCCTATCTATGACCAAGTGTCGGAGAGCTATGAAGCCATTGCCGGATTCAACAGCCAGATCCACACTACAGGATACATGGATGATGAACTGATCTGCTCTTAAGAGTTAAGTTAGCAGAAGAGGCAGTATGAGCCTAGGTTATATGGAAGGTTCTTTGATGAAGGACCTCCTTGATAAATCCAATGATTCTAATTATATTCTCAAGCAGGGGTGACCAACCTTGGTCCACAATCCCAATCCCACAGCTGCTAAAGGTCATCCTCAAATTATCTTTCTGTAAAGATTTGGAACACGTGAGCCTTATCAATCTAGTATGTCTAAATTCAAGTCAGGAATGGCCAAAGGAGTCCGTAAGTTCAGAATTTACAGTGTTAGGACTTTTGTTTTAAATGATCGCAAAGCTGCCCAACTGCACAATCTGCCAGCATCAGTGGTCAAAACAAAATTGTTTCAAGAGCCAAAACCGATTGAAAGGTTCACTCATAATATATGCCGGATGGTAGCTCTCCAGATGCATGGATGAGCAGGTCATCCTAAAAGGATATGGCCTAAAAATCTCAGCTTTGCCCCGTTTAACGGGGAAATGAAGGAAAATTAGGAGCGTCTGCGTCAACTTCCGCTGTAAAACACAACTCCCCCACAGGGAGGCAGCTTGTGGTCTTACACCTGAGGAACCAGACGAGCACCGACGAGACAGACGACCTCCTCTTGGGTTCCCTTACCAAGAAGACTCGCTGCTCCCTGCCCTGCACAGGTCTGCCTAATAGACTGAATCCACTCCTCGTCGATAAAGGTGCCGGCGTGTTTTGTTCCATCTCTTTGAACTAATCTCCACGGCACTTACCCCTTGTTTCTTCAGCTCCTCCTTCAAAGGCGCCAAGCTACACTTCTTTCCCAGCATGCAACTGTACCACCTGTAAACACAAACAAAAGAATCTTTAAAAACTGCAGCTTAGATATGAAGGCCTTGCAGAGATCAAACAAGCGGCAGGAAACTGACCTGAGGGCTGAATATTGGACAAGCCTTTTGACTCTCTGGGAAAGGATTCAGCAACTCTGCACTTTTATAAGGTGTTAAGGTGATAGTGGGGTCTCTGTACTTCAATAGTTTGAAGGTTCAATCTGTTATTTTGTGGACTTTTAGTTTTTTTTGTTTCTTTCGGTTTTCAAAGAATGAGCTTTGAAGACACACAAGACAAAATCAATATGCCTACTGCGCACTAAAAAGGAAACTCAACCAGATCAATAACAGCAAAGCCTTGGGAAAAAAAACAAAAGAAAATTACCTAATTGGTAAACTCATACAAGACAAGGTATGTGAACTATTTCTCCAGAACAACAGGTTCTTACATTTCTGTTTCTCAAGAGAGTAACAACACTCATCTTGGCTTCACTGAGGTTCCTCAGTGACCTAAGACACAGTCTGCTGTCTGCACAGTCTGTCAACATCTGCATGCTTGAGCATTAAAGGAGAGTAACACTGTGGATTTAAAGACAGCATGCAAGAATATGATTTGAGGATTCAAGGAGAGTGTGCAACACTGTATTTGGAGATTCCAAGAGAGCACCACTGTGTTTGAGAGTTAAAAGATTGCGCAACCCTGTGTTGGAGAATTTAGATAGAGCTTGCAACACGGTGTTCAAGGACAGATAGAGCCAGCTGGCCCCCAACACCACAGTGCAGGAGGGGATAGGCACAGGCGAGGTGAAGCAGCTTTTCCAAGGAATATCAGCTGTCCCCAGCTCTGCACTTCAAATCGTGATTCACAGCACTCGACTGCATTTCAGGCAACAGGGGTGCAGGATGTGGCTGGAATTTCAAGATTAATAAAAAAACGGGTGGGTTAGGTACAGCCGCTTGCCAGTTCAGATTACTGACACAGCCTCCCGCATTCCTGTCATATCAGGAACAGCTATGACTGTAGTACTACAGCTGTATTCCAATTCGACCTCCTCTGCAGTGTGCAGACAGCCCTAGATTAGCTGGTTGATACATGGTGCTGAACTGTGGACCCTTTTTTTTTTGTCAGATTTGTAGATCAGCTCCCCACCCCCCTCTGCTTCACGTCTGAACCAAAGCTGGTGTTAATAACAGTGGAGACCATTTCACTCTCCAAGATATCAATCTGAAACGGAGAATGACACATTCCCCCATTTCATTTCTCACGAGGAGTGCGGACTTGCTAGATGAACACAGTTCCCGAATGTGAGCAAAACAGGTTGGGCACTTTTGTGCAGAACAGAGTTTTCTTTTTTCTCAACTGCAGAATTTCTTTTTTTGGTGGGGGAGGGGGGGGTGGGGGTGAAACGCGTCAGAGCTGATCTCTGGCGGCCAATCTAGCAAAGCTGGCGCGCAGCGCAGACACCTGCATGGTGAAGAGGAGACAGCTTAGCCTACTTGATGTGGAGTTGGCACTCTTTGCAAAGGAAAGTGCAACCATCAGAATAACAAGCATGGAGGCCCCCTCTCCCCATCAAACACACTTGTCTTCCACTTCCACTGCACCCCCCAGCCCCAGTGGGTAGCCCAGGTGTGGCTTCCCTAATCATCTCTAATCATACAGTTGCCCCCCCTTCTCCAATAAGCGTGGCATCTCAGTCTCACTCCAGCGCGCTTGTGACAGCTCCTGGCAGAGGGGGGGCACTCAGCACTCAGAGCACATCTGCTCCCGTTGGGCACTCAGGATCCAGCCATGGTAATTGTTTACTCTGTCTGCCAATTAATTAAACAAACTCTGGATGACAGATCTGTCTTCAAACCCATCTGCCCACGCTGGAGTCGAAACACGTGTCCTCTTATTTATTTCCTCCCTCCCTCTCTTTCTTTCTCATTCGCTCTCTTGCCTCTTCCTTTTGTGAAATATTTTTACTGTACTGCATCTGAAAATTGCAGCCCATGTTATTCAGATTCTGGGACTGATGACTTGCACTGCTGCACAGATGTCAGATCTAGAAGACATCCAAATTTGGTTGCCAGTCCTTCAATTCATTCATCCAAGGTATCGTCAAAAGAACATCTATAAATCTATTCGGTTATTTTGTTAGATTAATATTCTTAAACCTTAAATTCAGTGCTACAGGAACACAAGGTCTTCTGGCTCCTGCTCCACAGGAACACATAACCGGTTATTTGTTTCTGACGGACAAAGAGGCAAACAGAATAACTTTATTTTGAGGTCTTAAGCCTGAAAGGCATGCAGGTCCATAAGGCTTTTTTAAATAACCAGTTCACATCTGAAGTCTGTGGAATGATCTCATAGTAAAAGAGATTGCTCCAGCTCAGGAGCACACAGGTGAGTAGAAAGCGAGCTGTGATTTGCTTTGTTCCTTGGAGCCCCACACTACTGGGCTCAAACCAGGCAGTTTAACCTGCGGGGACAGAAATTGCAGGCGCCTGTGCTTGTGGATGAGACAGCAGACGCCAGTCTGCAACAGCACCTCAGACACTCCCCAGGTGGCTGGGGGTGAGGGAGACGGCTTCTCCACTTCCCCCTGCATTCAGATGCCATAGCCAAATTAAAATAAACACGGTTAAGTATGGAGGAACAGTCCGTATTATTTCCAGCACTGGTGTGCTCAATGGAATACATAAATCAGAGTTGACCAATTTTGCAGGTGCTCACTCCAGCTTTGGTCTTAACAAAATTAGCTTGTTGTTTAATGGGATCAGTTCACCAATGTCCTCCATATCCTCAGAAGAGACCGTGCCTAATAATCCATTCCCTGTTGCTTTAAAGAGACCTAGAAAACTCAAAGACACACTGGCCCTTCAGGACTGGAGCTGAATTACCCTAATGCATATATCACCCCCTTGCACATAAGACCCTTCATGATGCAAGGACAAAATACCAGGTGCCAATATGTTGGTGCTGACCCTGTTTTGTGCTCGGTGTTGTGGCATAGATTTTCTCTTTAAACCACAGTCGTGCTTTATAACAGGGCAAACTGAATGAATGTCAATGCATTACCAGTTGCTGCAAAATCATAACAAAGACATTTTAAAGGCGCGGCAAATTTGCTCATTTGTCCACACAGTCCTGCAGCCCACTCACCGGAGTCTCCTCTTGAGCTGCAGGCTGTCATGGATGATCCTCTTCACAAACTCCAGCTCGCCCCCTTCGGCCATGATCTCGGTCACGCCCCCGGTGTTGACGGAGCTGGGAGGGGGTCTCCGTGCGTTCCTGGAGTTCACGCCCTGCGGAGTACAGGCAGCCCGTCAGCACCGTCCGTGAAGGCAGTGACAGGCGGACGGGCTCCAATCCATCAGGAATACAACAGTGGAAGAGACCAAGCCTGATAATCCATTTCCACAGACAATAACAGTTCCCTGTTATAAATTATAACTCATGGTCTAGAATTAAAATCAAGATTCACAGTCGTGTGATTACTGCTGTCACTCGAGATGTGACAGCAAGCGAACGGCTTATGAGTCACAATGGCTACTCTCTGCATTGTCTGCTATCTGATAAAAATGTGCTGTGTGAGCTAAAATCCACAGTCTCTCACATATACGTCTGACATCCTAAATTAGCTCCAGTAAATACTTGCACACCTGGTGTGCAGATCATACATTATGCACATAACTCAGGAGCGCGCAGCATAATGGAGCCGGCCTTAATTAGAGTGGAAAGAATATAATGGAAAGCCGGTTTTTCTCTGAACGAGGATATGGAAAAATCTCACAAAGGATAAAAGGAAATTGTCCTTTTCTGTGATGGCGAAGTGAGATATATCCCCCCTGTCCGCCTACAGCACGGCGGCGCCTCTGGTTCGCCACCGTGTGCCTGCGAGAGCCGTACCTTGGCCTCCAGCTGGTTGGCGAAGAAGGGTGGGTTGCACATGCAGAAATCATAGACTATCGCCGTCTCCTCCTTCAGCGCGTCCATCAGCAGGGTCTTCTGGGGAACCTTGACGACTGCAAGCAGACAGTCAGACTGCTCTGCTGCCCTCCACCCCTCACACTGCCCCTGCGGGGCGGACTGCAGCGGCGGGTTATAGAGAGAGGCTCAAAATAAAAAGCCATGAGCTGGCAGCGAGTTGGCATGGTGGTTAGCGCTGCTGTCTCTGGCAATGGGCACCTGTCTGTCTGTGCGGAGTCTGCATGGTGCCCACCTGGGGGATGGGGTTTCGGATGATCAAAGGTATTTCATCTCTGGGTTATTTTTTTCCCCAGCACTGGTTACGTGGCTACAGATCTGAAAATCAGCACCAAATGAGCTCTACAGTTCTGTCTAATTTCTGGTGTTCGCGTGTCAGTCTGTCTTGTGAACACCAGTTTTAGTTCATGGCCAACAAGGATTAAAGTCTCCCCATTTCCCAACCATGTTGATATGTTAAAGGTGTGGCCGTCCAGGTACAGAAAATGAAGCAGTTCTGATCAGCTGTGAAGCATTTGACAGAAAAATGCCAAAAATTTCACTCTAGTCACCTCCTGGTTGATTTAGATGCGCAAGATTAAAACATTCATTTTTGCAATAGGTTTACAACAACGCAAATGAATTACTTCTTGCAGGATGGAGAAAAATGTCAGACCCTATTAGAGTGACATTCTAATCTAATCTGACAAACACCACACCTAAAACCGTAGCCTTTTTGTTTTGCAAAATGGAAAATTTAAAAATGAATTGTTTTCTGGGGAGAAAAAGGAGGATAGGTCGAGTTCTGCACTCAAAATGCTTTACAAGTAATGGGGATCCCCTCCACCACCACCAATGCGCAGCCCCACCTGGATCATGCAATGGCAGCCAAAATGCACACAATCTGCTCCCCACACACCAGCTCTCAGTGGGGAGGAGAACAGAGTGATGAAGCCAGTTCAGAAATGGGGATTTTTAGGACGCTGTGATTGGTAAAGGCCAGGGGAAAATTTGACCAGGACACCGGGATAACACGACTGCTCTTCTCGAGAAACCCCTTGGGATGATTAATGACGTTTCACGTCTCATTCGAAGGACGGTGCCTTTTTACAGTATAGTGTCCCCATCACTATAGTGGGGCTTTAGAACCCACATGAGACCACAGGGTGAGTGCCCCCTACTAGCCCCACTAACACTACTTCCAGCAGCAACCTTAGCTTTCCCATCAAGGTATGGCCAGCCTCACGCCTTCGCATTTATCGGCTGTCTTGCACAGCTTCATTACCTTGTGTTTTCTTGTGAAATGCGAAGAGAGCTGCTCGGTGCCGAGCGCTATGTGAAAGTGAAAGGAGTCTCACCCTTGATGAGGTCAGACAGGTTGTTCTGCTCCACGTTTTTCTTGGCGTAGTTGTAGCAGATGTCATCCACCTCTGTGGCCAGGAAGTACCACCCATTCATGGTCGCACCCAGCAAGGGGTATATACAGGAGGCGCCTGTGCCTGAGGAGACAGGTACATCAGCACCAGCTCTGACGCTGGCCAGATCAGCCCCATCTGACTGGGGAGGGGGCTCAGCAGGCAAAGGGGCTCCAGAGAAAGGCTTGGAATCGGAGTGAACCTAACAAGCAAGATGGTTTTCTTGGACTAATTAAACTAACTGCTGACTGAAGCACAATCAGTTCCACTTTAAAACCAGGAAGCACTACCCGCCAGAAAAAGGAATTGTTCTTTAGAACAAAAAAAGGGCATGATATGCATTCTGAATCGTTTGATTTTCCCCCCTTTGTTCTTGTGGTGCTTCTCGTTTTACTTTGTGTGGTCTGTGTGCTTTTCTGCTTATCTGTTATCACCTTTCTTTTTTGCCATTCTAATTAACTCTGCAGTAGCTGTCTGTGAAGGACACACAGCTTTCAATAATATGGTTTCTGGGCTAATTAGTGGGTCTAATTAAAGCAGAAACAAAGATCGACATCATCAGCCTTTATTGATGACCTGCAATATGTAAAAAACAAAACCCCCAAAACACAGGGGCAGGATATCAACAGCTATCACTCATGTGGAAAAAAATGTTGAGAACACAGCAGCCACTCAATACTTAAGATTCTAGAACCCGAACTGAAAACACTTGCTGCCCAGAGATCACAAAACCACCCTCAGCCCACTGCCAACAGGCAACCCTCTTTATCTGATAGCAACAACAGTGCTGCATGCAAGACAAAACTGAGCTCCTCAAGCAATGGGCTAGGGCCAGCCATCAGTCACCCCAGAACAGCAACTGTCTGACGCCCTGCATCTTCAGACTCCCAAAGCATACCACCAGTTATTCCCAGCGGCCACAAACTTGCTAATTGGGAGGATAGAGCCAGGATACAGCCTCTTCCACTCTGCATTTCAAGGCAATGCCCCACTGCCCCAAACCCTCCATGCAGATCCTGCTGGTTCCTGCGGGGGACGTCGACGAGCTTGACAATGCAGCAGGAGAATGACTCCAGCCTCCCCCCTCCACCCCGTATCATTACACCGGAGCATGTGGATTCAGCCTTCTACAGCCAGACTGATCAAACAAGATCTAGCTCGCAAGAACAAACAACCCTCAGCACACTGGGCCAGGCACTGAGCACCAGCCAACACATCCTGACAGAGACTCTCACCACAAGCCCCTGCTACATCGGGCACGTCTTGGAACACCAACATGCTCTTAAGTCAGCTTGCGACCACCTGCTGTTCTGGGACGGTAAAGCCCCAAGCAAATAAGAGCACTGCTTAAAAACACGGCTGAAAATAAATGGACTTTATCCCCCGTCAGGCTGGCAGGGGAAGGGGGGAAGGGGGCGAGTGTCCCCGGCTCACCGATGTCGATGCCTCGGTGTGGGCTGCCCCCCCCGATCAGGTCCTCCACCCAGTGGATGTAGTTGAGGCGCAGGGGGACGGTCGGGATGAGCCGCTCCAGGGGGATCTCGATGGTCAGCCCGAAATCCTCCTTCAGCAGGGTGCAGGTCAGAGCCCTCACGGCCTCCGGGTCCTTGAAATTGAGCCTGTGAGGAAGCAGCGACCCCTTTGAACAAACACTAGCAGGGCCATTTTCACCCGGCTCTGGGATCTGATCTCAGCCCCAGGTCCAGAACTGCTTTCATTCCTGCTAGTGGGAATCAGAGGGCTGGCACTTAACACACAAAGTGTTCCTGTGAAGAGGTACCACCCAATATAACAGCCAGCTGGGTTAGTGATCAGATGATGCTGTGCAGCCTGTGTCATAAACACTCACCAGCTGACTCTCAGAGGAATGACATTCAATATCAATAAAAAGGGAATTTGCCTGCTATGGCAGAGCATCACAATGTACTCATACCTCACTGAATCAGTTAACTCTGTTTTTATTCCAGTTTTCCTCCTAACATATTTCCCCTTTGATTCCAGTGATCTTCCTAGGCCTGGAAATTGGGAATAAATGTGGAAAAATGCTGGCAATTCCATCCGGATTGCAAAGGTTTTTACACGCCTTTTTTTAGGTGCCTTCACACCTCCAGTGGTGCCCGGGATTCAGCAGCGACACGTCTGGCACCTTTTCGTTGCCTTGGTTTGTGCAAGGAATCGATTGTTTTCTGAAAATTAAGGTTTGGTGGGGGTTTTCCAGGTTTTCCAGCTGATGGCGTGACCATCATCTAACACCTCAATCGCAGGTCAGTGCAATCAATGAGAACAGAGCGCTGTCTGTGATGTCTGTGAGTCAAAAATGATGATGTTATTACTACTTATTGTTCAATCACTGCATGTTATACTGTAAAACAGGAGCCAGAAACCAGCCAGAATAAAAAAAAAAAACTTTTCTCCCAGTGAAAAAACCTTTTCTGGTAGAGATTATACTACAAAATCCATGCGGACATGGCCAATTGCGTACTGTATACTCTCACATGAAACTCCAGGCAAGGAGATTCAAATGTGGCTTGGAAATGAGAGGTCACATTCTTGCAAAGACCACTGACCACAGAGTCCAGTCCAGCTCTGAGAATTTACATAAGTAAATAAGACCAGCAAACCTGACCATTTTTTGCAAAGCTGCAAGTTTCTATTTATGATCAAGACAGTATTTGCAAAATACAATCTACCCATTTTGTGCGTTGTGAATACGTATATGTAAAACATGTTTTCTTCAAAGTTGAATTTATCTTTTCAACAGTTCATGAAGTAATGTGGTTTATTTCACATGGTTTCAGTAAGTTTCCTTTGGCCAATTCATTCAGCCTTCTTAAAGGGGACTGTTACCACATGACAGTCTCTCATTTCCCTAGCCCGATATTCAGAGCAGAATGTATTGCTCAGATAATGCCAACAGGGTAGGGACCAACAATTAGAACTAGTGAGGGTTTTTGTTTTTAATGTATTATAACAATTTCAATTGTTACTTACATTAGGTAATGGTAAGTGATTTGAACAAAAAGCCTAAGATTATTCATAGCTATGTACAAAACAGTGAACATAATTACTAAAACTACCAACCAGGTATTCCCCTCCCTAGAGCTCAGGCCTCTACAGAGTGTCGATACACCACACACCCATCTCATCACAAATTCGTAATCTGCTCTCCCCCAACTGGCTTCCAGTGCTGGATCTGATCAATACACTCCATGATGCTCTGCACACACGGTGCCTGAATCCAGGCCTGCCCCTATTTTTAGATCCTAATAGATTTTTTTTTTCCCCTGTTGTTACAAAAGGCGAGGCCTTCTTTCAGGCAGTCTTCTGCTGCAGAGCAACAGCACACAAGGGCTCTGAGCACGGTCTCCATAGAAACCAGTTGAATATCTACAAATACGACAATGCTGCTTTGAGATACTGCTGCAGAGCAACAGCAAATCAAAGAGAAGATGCTGTCATCCTGCTCACAGAGATGGCTTGATAGCACCAGGCTTCTGTCCCTCCACACAGAGGTGTGGCAGGACCAGGCCTTTCTGGCAAAGGTGCTCTTGTGGCCTTCTACTAACAACGCAGCAGGCCTATATAAGACTTAACAATGGCTGGCCTGTAGGGGTACAGAGCCTATAGGACAATCAAGCTGTCACATCTCAGAATCTGCACTTTCCAAGTGTCAGCAGGGTTAGTCCATTCAAATTAAGTCATAAACCTTCTCCTAGCATTGATTTTTTTAGAATCTATCTAGAATTTAGCAAGTACAATTGTTTTTTTTTCACCCCCAAAACATGTGGTTTGTTCACGTTAGGGGAGCCCAACTCCAGTCCTAAAGTGCCACTGTCTAGCAGGTCTCCTCAGAAGCAAGGAAAGTCATCAGGTCATCCAATTAAGCGACTCATTAAGGGCTCAGGCAAAAACAACAGAAGCCTTCTGGCTTTCCAGGACTGTTGTTTTATTCCCTGGTTTACACACACTGTGGAAGGCCCTAGAAGTTTCAGGTTTCACAAACTAGAGGCTCTTACGAAAGCCGAAGTGCTGGATATTTTGAGATTGCTCCCTTACTATGGACACATCTCACAAATACACACAGTGTACGGCTTTTTGCATTCAACAACACAATGTGGAAGCCACCCTGCAGCTTATGAAACCTGCTGTACTACTGTGCAATAAGAATCGAGTTTAAAGCAATGTTAGGCTGTCTTACAATATGAGGCACTGGCTATGCCTTTAATAAATGTTACAGCATTCCGACACACTCACTCCTTGTTCAAAATAACCTTAATATAATGTACACTCCTGAGCCTCTGTAATCAAGTACAATACAGTCAAATCTTTGCTTTGTTTCTCTTTGGTGAAGTCATTTGAAGATGCCTAAGACAGTGAGGCAACACAGGTAACACCACCACAGAGAGAGCCTGCTGCACAAACCCCAATCCCTCTAATATATTTTTACTGCTGTGGAGCCGACTGTAACAGCCAGGCTAAGCAAACAGGACTGACTGCAGATCACTTGATCATCAAAAACCCCTCAAGAGCCCTGTCAAATCTGCAGAAGCACATAAAGGGTAAAATCACACTAATATTTTCCCATTATTACAGACATTCACTGCAGTGTAAAGACAAGATCTCTTTGTAATTAGTGTACTTCTCTCCTCTTCCCCAGAGCAAATTCACATTGAATTAATTCACATTGTTTGCATTTACTTCTCTCTCTTTTGTGAATTTCCCTCTCGCCTCTTTAAATGGGAATAAAAATGTTATTTCTAAAGGAAACAACTCTGAAACCTATACCTTAGGACAATGATGTAAGGGTCTCATTAATAGTCTTTTATTTCTTCAGTGGACATAAGAGAATTTTCAGTCAACACAAAAGATCAAAACGGAGATGATGTAATATCAAATCTGAATAGCCTGTGCATGAAATTATCAATGTACCAACACACAGGCATCCTTGTACTGAGTCTATGAGGTCTTAAGCATCTTAAGTACTGGAGTGATCTAATAGAACATTGTACAATGTTCCAATTAAAATTAAAAACTGGGAAAAAAACAGTACCTTAGTAATTAAAAAAGCAACATTCAGGTCCATGCAACAGGTCAGAGGAATTTCCGTATGCCATGTAAATGGAGATCCAGTATATAAATGTAGGTACAAAACAGGATGTCAAAGGTTATGGCGTGATTGTTTAAACCTATTCTGGACACTGCAACGGGTCCAGTATTATTTATGAATCTTTACTGAAAACCATCTAGAGATCAATGCATGATTTATAAAAGTGCTCAGGAATTCTATATTCACCAGTCTGCAAATGAGCATTAAATGTCACCCTGTATTTAAATTTTTAATGCCTCTCAGAACCATGGCACCGAGACCTCTATGATCAAAATGCTTTTGGTGCAATTTTCCTGGTTCATGCTTCCTAATTCCATTTTGTTCCGCTGCAGACATCTGAGCCCAAAATTCATGCTCCACCCTCAGTTCCACACACCCACACCTCACACAATGCATTTGCTATACCCAGGAACTTGTACATTATCACAAGGACTTAAAGGGTAGCTCTTATTTTACACAGGGGCACACAACGCTCTGTAAACTCTAAATTCCTTTCTTCGACAATGACGACCGCTTCAAAACGATCACTTCGGAGAAAAGGTGGGGTCAACAGGGATCAGGACATGTTTTATTGTGCAAGCTGGTTAATAACCATTACCAGCCTGCCACTCACAGAGCTAAGATAATTTGACTGGACTATAATGGTTTTTGCAATGTACGTGTCAAAATCCATTTACTTAATATTTCAAGCTAACAGTCTGATTGCCAGGAACTGACAGCAGAGATCAGGTGCCAAAACAACACAGCACAATCCTTCCAGTATTCCTGTCTGTATTCCCAGCGCAGCAGCCCAGTGAAAATGGAAAACGAGCTCCATTTGCACCGCTTTTCACATCGAATGCAGTTTGGAAGGGTACAGTCCCCCCAGGAACCTGAATCGCCCCAGCTGTGGAATCATGTGACAAGAATGACTGTGCATGAGGAGTCTAAGTGATGTTAATTCCTTGCAGCAACTCACACCTGCTGTGGGACTCAACTGGATTAAAACGGCACTCCTGCTCAAAGAGAAACACCACACACGCTCAAGCGAGCACAATCACGGCCATGCACCATGCTAAAACAAGACACACACACAACACAACATGCTGACATAAACAGGTAAGTGAACACACATGCAACCACACACCCACCAACGTACACACCCCACCTCCCCAGGTGCCCAGAATGAGACTCCACATCCCACTGGGGTCCTAATGCATTTTCAATGGGGGGCACATCTGTGCCACGTCACAGTCTGCCACCAAAGTCCTGCTCCTACAACCAAGACAGGAATCATCAAAATCTCTGGTGCCCACGGCAGACGGCTTTGATTCTAATCACATTTTCCCTACCAGTGAAACGGGGAGGAGGTGTGAGTTGGAGGATTAACGCATCACAGCACCTGGGAGTCATTTCTCAACCATAATAAGACAGGACACCTTTGTGATGAACCTGCATTTTACAACTGCAAGAAGATGATTGCTTAAATGAACCGCAAAAAAAAAGCATTGACATTGAGCCGTATGTGGAAGA